GTAAACAAAGATCAGTGTGAGAGGCGGTGGCTATTAGATCTGCACTCCAACAAAGACTTTCCAGCTGCAAGGTCTCATTCATTCTTTAAGCAGGACAAGCAACAACACAAATCATCCACCAACTCATCAAGTGATGGCATGGTGATGACTCCAAATTACATTTATGATTACAATATCTAAACAAGCTGTGTGCTGTGAGGTGACATGATGCATTCTGTTATAGAAGAGATGGAGACAACAGTGCTACATCATGTACTGTGTAACTCTACACACATGAACAGCTGCTCTTCATCTTGGATTATTACTGTCACCATCTGAAAAGCCTTTCCCATGTGCTTCATGAAAATATATTCTGGGAAGGACAAGCGTCTGAACATTAAGGTTTCTCTTATTCCTAACATGTCGATGCAACATGTTGGGAATCAGAAAAACTGAATGTGGAAGAATAAATCCAGGATGAATTTAACCTCCAGGTAACAGTATAGTCCTCACCTAATCCCCTTCTTGTTGACCTCGTCGTGGGGCCGGATGTAGTCCACCTTGCTCTTCGTTATAACACACAGGTCAATGTTGCTTCCAGAGCCCAGATCATTGAAGATACCTGCAGCGATGGCGTCACGCACCAGCCGCTTGGCATCCTCCTCCTTTGACACAAAGTATTACAGGAAGTCACACTGACTTGTCTGGATTATCAAGGTTCTTACAGGATTGTCTTGTGTGAGTGGTGGGCTCACCTCCATGTCAGGCTTATAGCGGTCCTCAAATACTGCCATGGCAGCTAGGGACCCAGAGCCTTCAGAAAAGAAAAACAGCATCACAGAGCTGATAATATTCATGTTTTCATCTTAGTCAGATTATACTGCCATCATGGCTGTCATCTAAAAGAGTGTAACTCACAGTCTGGATGAGATCAGACTGAGTCGATATCTCAACAAAGAAAGGGGTGATGCTTTTAAACTTCTTGCCATATGAGCAATTAAATACAGTAAAATTATACTGCCTCTGTGCTTGCTGTTATTGTGTTGTCCATCTGACCTAGCTGGCTCTCCTACAGCTAATCACAGTAGTCAGACTGTTCAGCTTTCCCATGTGTGTTTTCTTAAGTTTCTAACATTAACTCTGGTCCAGACTATGTGTACCTCTTCAGGACAATCATGTCCAGGAAAGCATTTTTCAATATTCCTCTGGACTGGAGAAGCAAACATTCAGCGTCAGAGTTTAGCATTGTAACATTATCCACTTGCAGAGCAGGTGATTTTGACTAGCAGCTATACAATGTGCCAACATTGGCAGCACAGCTTTAAGTTATTCTATCATCAGTTAAGCTATTCTTACTAGCGGATCTATGCGATTGACAGCTGTTGTGTTGAGAACAAAGACGCGGAGGAAGAGCAGTTCACAGACATTGGCCTTTTCAAAGAAACAAAATAAAAACAAAACAACAAGGACATATTCCTAGTGGAAACTACGCCTATGTTAACAAGTCATCATAACTAGTTCTTTTATTACCAGCATCTACTTTTGCATAGTTTCTCCACCAGAGAGCACTGTGACTGCACTGTCAGCAACATACAGTCCTAGTCCCAGTAAAACCACTAAAAGCATCACAGAAATGCAAGTGATAAGCACAGTTAACCCTTAAAAAAATAAATCAAGATAGCCAGCTGCAGTTGATGTGTAAGAAGCATGCACTGTAAGTGCTTGAGACTGACCCATGGTGACGTAGGGCAGCTTGTCAGTGGAGCCATGAGGGTAGATGCTGTAAAGGTGAGGACCATTACAGTCCACTCCACCCAGAACCAGAGCGGCCCCGATGTAGCCTTGATACCTGAGCACACACACAACAGCACTGCTCATTCACATGTATACATATGAGACTTTCCTACATTTTCATACCAGATATAAACTAATTTATAAAACTTACTTTTGAATACTCATTTTTCCTTCAAAGCAATTTAAAAAAAATGATTTATTTATTTCACTTAAGTGAACCAAAACTGGCATACATGTCTGGTTGTTCTATTCATCAACAATTTCTCAACTGATTTTCCACTAACTGGACTATATGATGATATATTCTGATCCAGTCTGCGAAGCGCACCTGAAGAGCATTTGTTTGAGCATGCGATTAGCAGTGGCCACACGTGGCAGCCTGCCTGTAGAGAGGGAGTGCAGCTCCAGGTTGGAGGAGATAATCTGAGTGGTCATCTCTGTATCTGCAGCTGTTCCTGCGCCACAGCAGCTGCACAGTAACACAATCACAGCAGCCTGTTAGCTATACAACACCTCAATTCCATCACATGTAGCTGAAAAAAGAATTAAACTTTGTTTTCTTAAAGCCACTATTTGTAAGACTGGAAAATTCCTAAACATATTTTTCAGCTATGACAACTGGAGCCCAACTGGACTCCTCTAAAACTACAACAAATATCATTTAGGGCAGAGACACACAAAGCCGACATGAATGAACTAGCACTAACAGGGCAGAGACACACAAAGCCGACATGAACGAACTAGCACTAACAAAGGGCAAATGCTGCTTCGCCTCATGCTGAATTTGTCTGAGCCAGTCAGGATGAAAAAGTAGCATTTGCACACAGAGACTACAGCTAAGAGCCGACTGGCACATACGTTCTGTGCCTGTGTGACAGAAATAACTGCCCCTACCGGCAGTTATCTATATTCACCATTCAGAAAGGGAAAGAAGAAGAGCTAGAATGCAAAAGTGTAAGCTATAAACAAAACACCTCTCATCCAACACAGCTGCTGTTTACGGCTGTGTCTAATGGAGAATATGTCTGATAAGAAGTTGCAAATGACACTGGTGTCCTCTGTCCTTGGTGTTTTGGTTGGAATAAGAAAGGAGGCTGTCGACGCAGAAAACAAGGAGACACCAACTAAATGGGTGAAATCATGGACACTACAGCGACAGGCTGAAGGTCCTTTCCCGTGTAAGCTATAAACAAAACACCTCTCATCCAACACAGCTGCTGTTTACGGCTGTGTCTAATGGAGAATATGTCTGATAAGAAGTTGCAAATGACACTGGTGTCCTCTGTCCTTGGTGTTTTGATTGTGGAAGAAGAAAGGAGGCTGTCGACGCAGAAAACAAGGAGACACCAACTAAATGGGTGAAATCATGGACACTACAGCGACAGGCTGAAGGTCCTTTCCCGAACCGTTCTCTTGTTGTGCAATGACTTAAGCTCAACAGCCAATCAGTGGTTTTTCCTAATCGACAAGGCCCAGCAGGCTGACGCTGATTCAACCTGTCGAATCAGCCAAAAAGCTGACAGGTTGCCAACTGGGGCCAATGATGAGGGACACAATAGGGGGGGCGAGCGCTGGATGGCTGATCATTGGCTTAGTGTGTGTCTGCCCTTAAATTCATCTTTGTTCATTTGCAAACATAAAATCTGTGTGTAGAACAATGTCAGACCAATGAAAGACCTGAGAAGAAAACTCAAGCTCCGTCTCTTTTTACACATGGCACTTACTAAATGTTGGGGGAGATGTAGTGGATCTTGGAGCAGTTCTTGTCTGCCACTACCATGCCCTCAGTGGCTCTTGTGTCAGCTCCAAGGACGACACCATCCTTCACAGGGAAACAGAAGGCCACATTTAGATTCAGTAAAACTATGCTCAGTAATCCTGCATTGACCAGTGCTTTTCAGCACTTAAGTAAAACAAAACTTCTAATTATTAGCCTGTCTGGTGACCCCTGATCTATCTTTTGATATTGAAAGTGCCCAACTATGCAGTTATGATTCTGTTAGGGTTGGGTCCATTACCCAGCTCCGTCTCTTACCCACATACACTCATTAACAATTACATGAAAATACTCTACAAATATCATGATCAGTAAGTCACTTAAGAAATAGTTTTTGTTTCATTGGAACCCAAACATTTGTGTGTTTCTAATCAGGTACACATCTCTGACCTATACCCGTGTGGGAAACACAACACTGTCTGATGCTTCACCGTTTAATGAATTTACAAAAACATACTGTAGGTCGCAACTTAAACATACTTGGCATATAAACATGGTTCTTAATATCAAGACAGACTGGCACTGACTATACACACTGGCAGCAGCCAAGCCAGACTGCCACCAAAATATCACTTGTCTATGATACAGTACATGGTGAAAACACATTATACAACATACAATTCTGACCACATGAGAGATGAATAACACCTCTGATAGTTCTTTTCACTGAAGACATTGACATGTCACAGAAAAACAGGTGTAAATCACAAAATAAATGATGGTTGGATTCCATTTAGGTGCTTCAGTTTCAAGGCCCTGGTACTGTTGACACCGTCACACTGTCATCACTTACTGGGATGCTTGAACTGAACACAGCCATCATTAATGTTATTAGTAACAACTGAGCTTCTGCTATGGCAAGTATAAATGTGTACTGTAAAAAAAAGATCTATTGCAGTGCATCACTAGTCCCCACAGTACATGACATGGGTACAGTTAATTCCTAACCTTTGTGGCTCACTACACTTTGACAGTCAATCCTCTGTTGTTAAACGATATCGCCAAAATCAGCGAAGACTACTTGTAACATAAACTTGTACTTGTAACACTGATTCATTTAATCCAGATTTGACATCTTAATAATTAACAACTTTATATGTAAATCAGGGACAATAGTTGGCATTATGATAGACCATGAATGTGACATTTATCCAAGCAGCGAGTTTTCATCTGCAGCCCTTGAGCTGGCTGGTGTGATAAAAATAAAAGAAGACCAGGCAAGTGCACATATTCTATATTACTGACAGATGCAAATGGGACCACACATATCTTTATTTTTCATTAAAAATCATAACATATATAACTATAAAATACAAATATTTAGAAGACCCTCCAACCCCAAACATATGGAGAAAAAGTGTGATGTTTCATGACAATTTATGCCACACTGCCAATTTTATTTCTACAGCAAACATTTTCACTTGTTACAGGATGAAAACTACACATGTAATTAATACAACTAATTGCAGAAAGCACAGCACATTGAATGCAGCCTCTCATGGTACTGCAAGTGAAAATGTCTGCTGTAAAATGTTTAAAGCTAAAACATCTATCTGGAGCCGAAGCCAGACAATGCAGAGAAGGGCACAGGCAATATATAACTGTTTTCTGCAGATAATAATGAAAACATTACCATCTGTCCTGCACATACTGAACAAAATCTAACTCAGAGTAGAAGAACATTCTATTTATGAATATTCATTTACACCATATGAGCAATAATCCACGAGAGGGCAGACTAGCACACCAATAGCTTCTCCACTTTTGGAACTTAGCCTACTTATTTCAAACGCCCTCGGTTCAGTCACTCACCTTGAAGATAACGCCACAGATGGTAGTTCCTGTTTTACGGGCAGCAGGTAAACTGCATCCAACTTTGTTAACTTCTCCTTCTATAACTGCATTTCTGAAAATGAAAGTAAAAAGACACTTACTGCATATAACTGAATGACTGTGGTACTGTAAACACTACCAAGCCTAATAAATCTTAAACCCAGTAATAACACAAGGCTGCAGTTTTATACAAAACAAACTTGTCCTGTCAAACCATGACTGTCAAAGCAAATGTTCACCTCCCTGACACTCCAATTACCAGAACCAAGTACCAACAAAGGTTCTGTTTAAATGAGTAGAGTTAAAAAAAAAATACTACTAGTAGAGCTTATTTATGTACTCAACTAAAATATTAAACCACTGAATTGTATTAAAATAGCCGGCCCTGGTAGGCTAGTGGTTAAGGCACAGCGCTCGAGTCAGGGTTGCGTCAGGAAGGGCATCTGGCGTAAAACACGTGCCAAGTGTCAACATGAGAGTCGTCAGTGTGACGATTTGCTGTGGCGACCCCTAAACGGGAAAAGCTGAAAGTGACTTTCTTTCAATTGTATTAAAATAACCCAGCGTTTGCTAAAATACATGTGAATACATTCTCGTACACTGTCTCATTAGGTGTTAACTAAGCTCTACAGTTCGTAGCGCTGTTGCTTTGGTTAGTTAGTTAAACTTACTTGACTATAATAAATAACGTTAGAGATACCCAGCTAGCGGACTCAGGAAAAAGAGAAGAAACGTTCCGACATGCACCTTTCCCTGTAAAAATAATCATAATAAATGTACGCATTTTGTAGAGATACTAAAAACAGAAGTTAAAATTATACAATTAAATGTGTACAGTGTTCAACATGGAAGAGAATCAAACATTAAAATCAATCACGGTATTTTTACTAGCGTAGCGAAATACCTGAGTCATTGTATGGAAGCTAAGTTAGCATGGGCAAGCATCACTAGGACAAACCTATATTTACATTATTATAACAACCTCTAAACAGTAAGGGCAAAAACGTATAACAGTAAACTACGCTGTAATTCTCGTATAACTTTCATTCATTCATTCATTCATTGAACAGCGCGTACCTCTTACAGTTTTCGAAACTGAAACCCCCAAAGGGTGGCCGAGTTACTGCCAGCGTCGCCATCTTGTTGAATAAAAGCTTGTGTTTCCGGGAAGTAAAGGAAGTGGCCTGATGGTTCTTCTTCTTTATTTGGGGGGATTTTACGGCTATGTTTACGACAGTTTGTATCCTTGATGTTGCATTACTGCCTCCTTTTGGGCATTAGTTCTTCAAGGCCCATTTCTTTTAGTCCTGTGTGGTCCAATCTATTTAAAAACCAATAGCTTTTTTGTCCTTTACACCGCCTCTGTGTTTAATTGTAGTATTAGTACTGGTTTGTACCGAATCCTCTGTAGCTGCATGATGATGTGTCTCATTTCTTGTGTAGGTGGCCTGTATTTTATACATAATCCGCTAAACTATGTTTCACTTTCTTGACACCAGTCACAAAAGCCTGTTGGGTGTTTATCCACAATGAAGAGCATGGTGTTAGTGTGTCCATTCCTCATTCTGTTTAATATTACTTGCTCTTTCTTGCTTGATCTTCTACTGTAGGCTAAAAGTCCACCAGTCACATTTGAGCATTTTGGTTATCAATCAAAATGTATTTATGAGGTACATTTAAACAGAACTACAATTGACCAAAGTGCTTCACGTTAAGTCAGTAGAGTATAAATAACAACAATACCTCAACTGGTTGAGGTGCATGGATAGAGGAGAGAGAAAAGAACAGAAAACAAATAAACAACAAAGAATTAAACACTGGGCAGGTTGATGTGGCTGGTAACTGTTCATCAGAAACGCAGAGCTCCAGAGCCAGGACTACCTGCAGAAAGGTACAGGGAGAGAGAGGACACACTACGGGAGAGAGGAGACACACATGTAATGGTCTGACAAACTATTTCCTTTCCTCATATATAGTTCATATAAGTTCAGATTCAAACATTTTCATTTTCAGAAGAGGATAAAAATCCCAAGGTTAAGTAAATCCATGCTTATCTCAAACTGAACATATTCAGACCTGATGAAAACTACCTGCTCATTTGTTTTGAAACTGAAAGCCCAGAGCTTCCATGTCAAGGTCAGTCAACTCAGAGGTCAGGGTCAACTTCTGAGTTTGTTAAATCTGCTTCCTGAATGGGCCTGAGCCTGTAATGCTGTGTATGTAAACATGCTGCCATGTTTTGTCCTTGAACAGGATGGGTGCCAACTTGATGCCAGCTGGATGTCAAGGTCGAGTAGGAAATGGGGTCCAGTCAGGTGGACAAGATCAGATAGGGCGCCTCCACACAACAAGAAGAGTGCATTATGTTGATTAAGCCCTTTATTGAAGCAGAGCGGGCAAAACAGGTGGCTAAAGGTGTAATCAGTGGGATTTTAGTAGCTGATAACAAAGGTTTAATGTGCTCTGATTTTAACCTGCCTGTTTTCAAATTCATCCACTGCCTTCATGATCTAATACATTATCTTGCACTAAACAGTAAGCTTTTTGTTTCACATCATGTATAAAGAGACATGTTGTGGATATTTGCAAGAGCAGAACTCATTTTGTGTTGAGGTAATATTTATACTCTATATTCCAAAAGTTTAAAAATACCACGTTGTCAAATTTCTGAAAAAATGGTAAAAAAATGTGTAATGATTTAACTGTGTCCTTATAAAAAGCACAATCTTGGATTTTAATATTGCTGGGGTACATGGCCTTAAGGATATTTGTAAAGCAGTGCTATAAGATATTTTTCAGGTGTACACAAATATGTACCAAAGCAAGCTGTAGTGGAGGATATAGAATGGGAACCATGTGAGGTTCAATGGAAGATACTGTATGTATGGCTCAGTTATGGAATTGGTTACTTGACATGGTGGAAAGTAAGCTGACAACATAGATATTTATTTAAAATAGACAAATTAGTGACTCTTGGTCAAAAAACATTAGCTTTCTGTTTAACAACTCTGGGAGCAGTGAAGCTTTTTTAAATATGAAATGTTTGTTCAGAGAAGCTGTGTTTGCTGAGGGTAAAAGAAAATGGGCTATATATGGACTAAACCAAAACTGTGCACATTTAGGCTGATAAAAAGAATTGGGTACTGAGGCTTATGTAAAATATAATTTATATAAAAAGAAAAGGTCTCTGTGTGCGCAGCTGAGATCTGGTATTTTGCCACTTCCATTGGAAATTGGACAGTTTCTTAACTTGGAAGAAAACTAGATTTGTTTAATGTGTTGTGAGAATGACCTAGAAAATGATTTATTTTGCATATCTATTAGGAACGGCATAATATCCTGTTTAGTAAGATAAATATGGATGATGCAGAGCGATTGAGTTGGCTGTTCATGTATGTGAAACATTTACATTTGCTATGGAAAAAGTTTGGGAGAAGAGGAAAAAAAGGGCTTTATCACAACTTGTAGACAATTAATTAGCACTTTGAATGTTGTAAGCTTGTTCTTTGTTTCTTGCACTGTATGTCACTGGAAGATGTGCCTTTTGTTTAAAATAATGGCATCTTGTAATCCCACGTGGAATGGGCCAGATGTCTGGCATGACAGAAATAAAATAAAACTAAAAAAATAACTATATTACCACATAACACAGAAAAATTCAATAAGGTTCAATTAAGTTTTATTTGTATATCTAAGGACACTTTACATTGTAAGGTCTAGACCTTACTACCAGTAGTAGTAGTAGTAGTAGTAGTAGTGAAAAAAAAAAACAACAAATCCCCAAATTCCAGGGTTAATCTAATGTTATTAGACAGCTTAATGCTTCTATATACTAACATATACAGACAGTCACAGAACTTGTGAGTCTTCATTCTAGCTGCGCTTGGCGTGGAGCATTTCAATGAGCAGGCTGCTGCAGGGTACATCGGCACTCTGGTATCTGCAGTACAGGTAGTCTTCAGTGAGGCTGCTGAGAGCACGCAAGTCAGACAGACACAGCAGCAGATGAGCAAAGCGCCCAAAGTACTGAGAAGAGGTGCACAAAGTGTACTCCAGCAGGGTTTCTTCAACCTGCTCCTGCACGCCTTCTATGAACCGATGGTCTTCAAGCTCTTTCACATCTGGTTGGTGTGAGAAAGGGAAAGTGACAACTAATGAATATACATAAGACTAAGGATTGTCAAACTTTTCCATACCATAGAATGGAGACCTGGAAAACTGAAGAGATACCACCTAGAACAATGTCAAGTACCCCACAGCCCCCCTTTGACCAAATGGTTCTGGGAATTATGGAGCAACTACACTGAACCTTGAACTGGGGAACTGTAAAGATTGGACAAATTAGACAGCTAAAGGGTTAG